AGCAAAAGTGTTTTATGAACTCAAGAGAATCAGATTTTTGATTAGAGTTTTTGTTTTGTAATTTTTCTGCAATGTTTTCTTTTTCCCCTTTTTTTAACTTTCCCTTAAATTTCCACTTTTAAATTTTAATTCATGTTATAAAATAGTAAAGGCAAAAACTATTAAGCTCTGGCAGTGGAATCACTGGCGAGAGGTGAGGAGGCCAAGAAGAATGGGATGGTGAAGGCAACAATTACAAGGGATGGCAACAGCCAGAGCAGTTCTGGTGCCCTGGGGAGCTTTTCTCCCCATGGGTCGAGGCTGTAATTGGCACTTCATAACCTTTTCCTTCTCAACTAAAGAGAAAAAAGGACACTGTACCTAAATGATCACACTGTAACTAATTGATTTTCAGCTAATATAAGCCTCTAGCTATGAAGAAACTAGGACCAAAGGCAGACCCCAGGAAGGATGAGAGTAGTAAGAAGAAGGATGCCAAGAGAGCCTGGGGCTAGAGAGACCACAGAACTAAAGAGGAAAGGCCCAAGCAAGGGGAAGAGGGGTAAAGGAAGAGGAGAGAGGGAGGTGAATACTTTAGAAAATGGAAGAATGAAAGGGTAGAAATTGGGGGTGGTGGGTGAGGTTGTCCCAAACCTTCCTAGAGGGTGTTATCATACCTTCTTACTTCCAGCTCTTACTTCTTATTGAACTTTTAAAACTTGCTAGTTGTGAGTGACAATTAAAGCTTTCAAAAACACGTTTATTTAAATGACAGTGGTATCTCTGCAGCCATGCCCACCACTGAACAACAAAATAGCTTTAGAGGAAAACAAGGCTCCCTTCGGTCCCTTGTATGAATGCAAAGGGTTGTGGAAGAGGAGAGAAAAAGCTCTCCAAGCATGAAAACTTCTCCCTTCAGAAGTTGAGAGTTTTGTCCCCTAACCAGTGTTACCCCAATAAACTCAATAAAAAAGTTAAGAGCTTTAAAGAATTATATTTTTGCCCCATATTAGTGTTTGTGATTCCAGACATAATACATGAATATGTACTCTAGTGGAATTAGATTGTCTTTCCTCCCATCCCATTTCTCTTCCCTCAAAAAAAAAATTCTTGCATGTGTTTATGAGTGTGTTTATGTTACACAAGTGTTAATAACCCTGTTGGAGAGATTACATAGATAGGCATCTTTAGGTAGATCTATATATGAAGTCCTCTCCATTGGGCACTTGAATCAGCCCAAAACAACAATAAATATCAATGATGTCTTTCCAATCTTTTAACCAAATACATAAGCTTTTTTTTCTTCTAGTACCAGGAGAGTTTAATGATATGAGGGAGTAAGATGAGAAGGGTTTGATTTAAAGTTTTGAAAGCTGTTTTTTCTATTTCATATTTTAGCATGCTAAGTATATTGTTATAAAATGAATAAATTTAAACATTATATTTATATATTTTCCATTTTGAAAATTAACATATATTCTTTAAATATAATCTAAGAAGTATTTCAGTAAGTCAAGACCATTAATAAATCCAAAACTCTTCTTTATCAGAAAATTACATGTAGATTAAGCATAATATAAACATAAATTTCCTGTACTTACTGTTTTTTTATAATTCCCCTAAAACATTATGTTATTTTAATTATACTTTCAACAAGTAATCAAGTATTGGTTTCTAACTAAAAGATCTTAGAAATACACTACATGTTTATGTTTATATAAACAGGAGTTATACTTAAATATTGTAAGCAAATTAGTCATTCATTTTATTTGCATAGGTATTTGAGATATAACTCAACATTTTTGAAAAACAGATGGTTAGAAAAAGAACAAATCTTTTAGAAATACATTTTTGTTTCTAATGAAATATTGTAGCATTAACTAAGACAAAATCCCACTGATAGCCAATAGTCTCCAGGACAAATCAGTTGGATTCTATGAAAGTGACAAAAGTTGGCCTAACAATAATAAATTAATTAATTAGAGTTGAAAGTTTTTGTTCACATAATTAATAATTAATATTTGTTTCTTCAAATAAGTCACTAAAATCATTTAAAGGTCAAAATAGTATGTTTAGTTTCATAGTTGTTTTTATTGACCTTAATGTAATTTATTTACATTTTACTTTTTCATTTAGTAAATCCTAAACTGTTTTTCACACATGGACAAAAAAACTGTCCTCATGTGAAATTTGAAAAGTAGATATTTTGTTAAATAGGAATCAGAGTTTAAATTAAGCTTGATTGCTCTTGAGCAAAGCTTACATTGGAAAAAATAACTTTCTGATGACAAGTATTATAGAAAATCTATTATTTGACTTGATATGACACATGCAAGCATTAATAAAAAGGGTGTCACTAGATCCCTTTTACATAATTTATCTTATTATGGAAAATGTCAACAGAATCTTTCCACATATTTAAATATCCAGGTGACTTCCTCAATACAAATTCCTTACCTATTGCTAATTTGATCATTTGCCCTAAGTCCCCATCATGTACACATCTTTTAAGACACTAAAAAAATTAAATAAAATAAAATTCTCTTGACTTTTCTAAGAACATGAAAAAGGTGCAGATAATATTTGCTAATGAATGTTACATAAGGACACTCAAATTCTTAGCACAGTTGATGATATTACAGTGTGACCTTCTCTAAGTATGCTTTGACCTATTTTATTATGGAAGAAATACAGAAAAACTTTTTGCCAAGTAATGATAGGTTGCAAGTTTTGGATATATTAGAAGACATTGTTTGAGGATAATGAAATAAAATTGTGGTTCCTTTTCCTTAGAGACTACTGGAAAAACTCAGCATCAGAATCAATTTATCAGTAATGTAATGTGAAATGGAACATTTAGGTTGGAATATTAAATTTAAAACACCAACATGGTTTATTATTGAGGATAAATCATTACTCAGCAGTTCAAGCATGACAAAAATAAATAAATAAAAATTTTCTGAAGTTTATATTCCATTGTTTCTCTAGAGTAAAATGAATAATTATATTCCATGGTATGGTTATTGAACTAGCTTGTTATTTTAAGTCAAGCCATATAACAAAAATTTCATTGACTTTAAAAATATAATCATTCTTAAATGATCAAATTGGTTTTAGAAGTCACTGAATAAAACTGTTGATTATTGTTTTTGCTGTTGTTCTATGTTCATTAATAGAAAGTAATAGCATACAGGTTTAAAATCATACTTAATTCTTTTTAAAAAATACACTTCATTTCTGAATGATCAAAATATTCAAATATAATAAAATATATTATTAGATCAGATTCATGACTGAGCTATTGTCTTTTACAGTATATAATAAAACACATTCTTCTGTGTCAGATTTTATATGACCTGAACTGATTTTTTCAATGATTTATTTTGTAAATATGTAAATCATACTAGGTTGAAATTTTTCTATTGAAATGTTGAAATTTATTTAAATAATTTAATATGCTTTAGAAATTGCTACAAAGTAAAAATACATCATCATAAGCCACATTTGCATGCTACTTTTAGAAGGAAAAACAAGCAAACTAATTTAGAATTAAGCTATATTTTAATGGATTGAAAGTTCCCAATGATATCTGTTAATTATACATTCAAGAAAAGGTGTCCAGGACACCTAATTAGGGCAACCAGTGATGACTTACTAAAACTTAATAATGAGAGCTTTGTCTCTAGTAACATGAAACATATGATTTATTATGCACCTTACCCTTCATGCTAGGACTGCTGAGAGCAAATGAACAGAGCACATTAAGTAACATATATTATAAAAGCATCATGTGTTATTAGGAGTTGCTGCTATCTGACTTTTCAAAGAATATTTTTGAGATATATGAAGTATTTAATTAAGTGTGTAATCAAATGTCAATTTTAAGTCAAAGCAGATTTCATTTTTAAAACAAAGTCCTAAAAGTTCTTTCATTAAAATGTTCTCCATCATTTCAAGTTGATTAAATTTGTTGAAAAATTTTATCTACAAAAATAAATATATTCTACATTATTATTATTTTGAATGTCTGAAGATAGTAAATATTCACCTGCATCATCTATTAAAATATTTAAATAAAATTATAGCACTTGTAAAATTTTAAATTGGGAAACTCTTTAATATTAATGCAAGATAAATTATAAGACATTAATTTACTATTTGAGGTTGCCAATCTTTAAAAAACCACCATGGAAGTATAGGCATGGAGTAAAAGATAATTTTAAAAAATATGCTATAATAATGTTCCTAATTAAATAATTTCAATTAATTTTTATCTCAAATGAAAAGAAATTTTGTATAGGTAAGAACCATCATGGCATAATTTACATTTCTCTTGCTTCTGAAAAAAATCACAGAGGTATGATATATTTTAATCATTTCAGATAAGAATTGTCAGATTGAAGCTTCGCTTCTAAAATATCTTTCAGAGAATTTCAGCATCTCTCCCTGAAGCAATTTAATAGTCATCTTTTACAATATGATTTGATCTTAGTTCATTCCATTTCAATATTTTTGCAGTAGCCACTTCCTCTGAATGAGAGCTTTTTAAGTAGAATATAAATATATACTTATATGTTTCCTAAATTACTAACAAAAAAATAGATCAGAGCGTCATTTTTACTTTTCCATCTATAAATGCTTTTAAAAATTATTTTATTATTATTTTTGCCCAGAGCATAGCTGTCCTCATAAATTCTCCTTTTTTAAGACTATTGCCTGTTCACTCATACATTTATACATTAAATAAGGTTAATATTTTAACAAGATCTGAAAAGACCCAAATCTACTCCAACTATAAATGTTTAATTTTAGCTTTTTATATTAAAAATTAAAAAAATATGTCTTTGTTGCCTAAGGCAAAATCTTACATTGCATCAATGAAAGAAAGGAAACAGGAGCTGGAGAGGAGAGTTATAGAAAATGACTTTGTATAAACATGACCACCTACCAGGCAGCTACTTTACCATTAGAAAAACTTCCCCTTGTAATAACACAGATTAACAAAGAAACGAACAACATACCTAAGTTGACAAAGCTCATGACCATGTCAGCATCATTCAGAAAGTTGGTATCATGTAGACTGGCTAGAGGAGGGCTCTGGGTGGTCAGGGGAGTTGTTCGAGATAACTGTATGCGACGAGGATACCCATTAGGAGAGGCTGGGTACCCCTTTCGTGCTCCTCTGGTCTCTCCTGCCAGGGATGCCCTCCCTGAGTATTCCGACTCTTCAGGATTTTCTTCACTGGCCATAGCATTGTATAGGTCCAGCATAAAGAGAGGTGCAGAGGAAGCTTGTTTTCCAGGTGAAAATGGCCTGGGTCTGTGAGGCAAACCCAAGATAGAGAGAATTTCCCTCTGTATTTCCCGTCTTTCATGGTTCCGTAGTCTTCTATAAATAAAACTGGAGTGAACATGATTGTCTCCCAGACCTCCTTTTGCATAACCTAGTAGAACCCAGCAGCTCCAGAGAAAACCCACAATACCCCTAAAGAAAAATACAGTCAGATGCATTTTTGTCCAAAAGCAAAGTTGATGTTTTTAGTCCTTCTTGTCCTCTTAAAAAAAATCTAAGTTTCTAGGAGGTACAATTTCCCAGTAGCAGAAAAAACAAATTTACCTATCCTTCATGACAGTGACATTTCTGAACACAACATGCTCACTGATTTTCCTGTCCTATTTCAAATATTTTGGAAAATGTCAAGAGTAGTTATTTCTAAGAAAGCTGAAACTCAAATTTCCAATTATCCACAGTTGTTAAGAGTTTTTGCTGCATTGATGTAGCAGAAGACGCTTAAAATTATTTGATCAGATGACCTAGGCATTCCTATATGAATGTATGATAATCAGGCCTTTGGTATTTGAATTAATGAAAGTTGATCTTCTGATAAGCTGTAGTTCCCAGAGTTATCTTCACTTGCTCTTGAGTTCTTCTCAACCCTGGAGCTCTTTCCAAGACAAATCCTGATTTCTGAATCACAGATCTATGCTGATCTGCACCTTGGTGTTGGAATATATATTTGTCCGGCAGCTTGGTGATAACTTTAACATCTTTTGTGTCGTCTTAGTGTAAAATACAACTCAAGGTTGTACTATTGAAGTAAATGTGTTTCCCTGTATTTACTTGAAAACCTTCCTGTAAGTCCATTCAATCCCTTTCTCCTTCTTACTGTTAATTCCACCTCCAGCAGGCACAAATATACCAGCCCTCTTCAAGGGAGATCTAAAGAGTAATGTAAGCACAACCCTGCTGGGAAAGAAGAGGCTTCTCATTGTAATTTGAAACTGGTAAAGCAAAAAGAACTTAACCCTTTTGCTACCAGAAAAGCCTCCATTTTCGCAATTTTATAGCCACACATCTAACACAGAATAGTGATGAATGGGGCATATAAATTCTAGAGGGGAAAAAAGCCAATTTTCAAACAGCAGATTGAAAATTTTGCAACTAATTTTTATATAGTACTCTTTTAGATCTTTCTTTTAATAGTACATATTTAATACACTTCTATATTAAGTCTCAGGTTGTGGCTAAATTAACATGATATGTTTCAGTTCTATATTTAAGTTTACTTCTGGTTTTTATAAGTTATTAAAGTTTACTTCTTAAAAAAGAGGAGGAGTTGTAAATTGAGATTAATTTGTTGTTTTATAATTACAGCCAGATCTTTTTAAAATAAAATACAGTAGAAAATCAATCACCAGTAATTATATTTTAAGTATCAAAGCAGTAGTTATAATAATTTAATAATGGTAATTAGATAGCCTAGGTTTAATGGTCTTTAAATATCAAAAATTGAAGCAGAAAGTATATTCATATTTCTCTCATTAAGTCAGTACAGTTGAAATACAAGCACCCTAAGATGTAATGTCATAATTCTTAACTTTTAAGTCCTTTCAGTTGAAATGCAAACAGACTTAAAAATTAGGTAGTACTTCCCATTAATTGTACTCAGTACTTTGATTTGTTTTAACCCATGCAAGCAGACGCAAGTCAAATATTCTTCATCACTACATACAGACTGAAATTTGCCTTTTTAAATTTGATGGGTATAATGGGGAAAGTGCACACCTTTTTAAAATGCCATACTTAATCTGAGGAAATGAGCAAAGTATGTGTTTATCCTTAATGTTTAATGCCTTTAAAATTTGGAAGTCTACAATGTTTTTGTGCAGCTATAATTCTCCTTACAAGCTCTTACTTAACCTTGAAAGGGCTCACAGTACTTTCATTGTCTGGAACAGTATTCTGATACCAGTGTAGATTTATCAAGTAAATTCTAGAACGATTATGAAATTTTAATGTTTTTTCCTTTACTCTGCCTTGAAGCACCTGGTTTCTTATTTAATGTCTTTTAAAATATTTCCTGTGAGTATCTAAATCAAAGCCATATTTCTCACAAATCTTCAGTTTATTGGTAAAGGCAAGATACTGAAAAGGCCTGCAGAATCTTATTGTACACGTCATTTTTTCTTACACAACTAACTGCACTAAAACTTGATGGTGCCATTTAATATTGGTCGTACTGAAAATTCTTTATTAATAGCCATGCAGGATGCCATAGTAGTAGAGCCACATACTGACATAAATGGAGCACCTTTATAAAATTGGTATCGTGTGAACAGCAGGACATTTGGGGAGGGAAGAAATACCATTTCAATAAGAAATGGTTTAAACCATTAAAATTCTTGAAGTCATTTATTTCATATCCAAACCAACTGAAGAATTGTTTCGATCATTAATGCAAATTCTAACAAGTACTTTGAGATGAAGTTTCTCCTCTGCATTTATAAAATACATCCCAGATAAAATACACAATTTTCCTCTACACTTTAAGATAACTTACCAATGTTATAAATTTGCTCATGCTTCTAGAACACAGCACAGAGCTACAAGTAAAAACTGGTCACACTAGAGTAAGGAATAACTCTTATCCTTCACGTGTGCTTCTTTTTTTTCCTTAAGATACCAATGAGAAATAAAACTGAGTCTAGGGGTCATGAGCCTCAAAAAAAAACTCATTTCCCAAAGCATGATATATATCAACCAGTGTAATTGTAATTTAACTGCTTAACCAGGCACATAGCCTACCTCTATATTGGAAATCAGTTGTTAATAATCTTGGTCAGAATTTTTAGTATCCACCCACCCTCCACCTTCCCTTCCAACTCAGACTAGATTTGGCAAACATTTATTTTTCAAAAGGATCAACATGTGCAATGAGAGAAAGAAAATAAAGAAGACAAAAACTGCCAGGAATACAGAATAAATGCTTACCACCTAAGGAAAAGTCAGATTCATTTTCAATTGAAAGTATTTTACCACATTATTTGCATTTCCAGGTAGATTTGTATCTATGTATATGAGAGCAAATTGCAACTGAGTGGTATAAACATTCCAAATTTCAGAGTATGTACTTAAAAGGTGGAGGAGTCATTGAACATACTGAATAAATATATGCTAAGAAAGAAGTTGAGACAGGAGAAACATCCATGGCAACACAAGAATTGTTTCTAAGTAGAAGTACATTTCAAGAAGAGCATTCTTCATAAAAAACTCACCTCACAAAATGAACTACTTCACTGGGATATTTACTAATATACTTGACCTTTTAGAGGGCAGCAAAGACAAGTGGATGCATGTAGAAATATTTCTCCATTGTCATTTGTTTTCTGTTCATTTTTTCTTTTCCTCCCTACAATTTGACACACTAGCAGATGTGTGTGCAAACCGACTATGTCCAATAGACTGACTTTATTTATTTCTCAGCCTTTCAAGGCTGCAAAAACTTCTTTTGAAACTTGCTCAACAAAAAGTTGCAGCATTTGTAAATCTGTTTTGTTCTGGGATGGTCTTCCTAATTCATCTCTAGGTCTTGTTTCCCATTGTTATATTGGTTTCTCCATGAAACAAGATTTCTACTTGAACGATACGCAGTGAAAGACAGATGTCCAATATAAATGGTATCTGCATTCTAACAACATCTCTCAAGCTTGGAAAACAATCCAAAATCATTTGAATATGACCATAAAATTCTTAGGCAAAAGCTATCTGAGACTGTGTTGGAGGGAGAAAGGGAAAAGTGTGGGAAGGGACCACTGAGGAGACTGAAGAAGCGGCAGTCAGCGGAAGAGTCCGAGAAGACGTCCCCTCCAGACTCTTTGTGGTGAGTGCACACACAAGCGCAGAACAGAGCAGCATCTGTGATGTTAAATTGCCTTCAGTTAACTCTTTTTTTTTCCCTTGAGCCAAAAACATAGCATATAGAAACAGAGAATGTGGTGTGCATCGTAGTGATGCAAAGAAAAGCAGAGTGGTGCTCTAACACCACCGTCTGACTTAAATTTGCTTGTTATAATCTGAAAGGGATTGCAGTCAAGGGCAGTCTACACTTTTTGTCTATCTCAATAATAACTTGTTATGAAAAACTTAGAAATGAATAACAGAATACAATCACCAAAACTGTTTTTGAAATGTTTGGTATTATTTTTAATGGATGATGACTTTATAGAATATTTTTAAGGGAACAGTGGATGTTTCAATATGTTTTATGTTATATGTTTTTAAGATTGTTTTACATTATGGCAAAAGGGTGTTCTAATAGTTACTTAAGGGATAACAAACAAATACCTAATCATCAAAAATCAAACACTGTTAATAAAATACCAGTCTAAAGGTATTTGAAAAATAGACTCCAATTAACTGACCTTTGAATATTTGATCAATGAAATTATTAGAGCAGATGTTTTATCCATCATCCAAGTTGACAGAATATTTTAGGTAGGTAGGTTGACCATTAAGCCATTATGTAGTTAAACCATAACAAAACATCTTCATTCGTGGAGCAGATTATAATGTAAAAATATCATTCACACCTTGGCTGCATGATTCATTTGGTTGCAGCACCATCCCATACACCAGAAGGTTGCAGGTTTGATCCATAGTCAGGGCATGTGCGGGAGGCAACCAACTGATGTTTCACTCGCGTGCTCTCTCTCTCTCTCTCTCTCTCTTTCTCCAGCCACCCCCATCCCATCCCACCCTTCCTCCCTCCTCCCATTCTCTCTCTCTCCCTTCCTCTCTCTATAAAAATCAATAAGCATATCCTCAGGTGAGGATTTTTTAAAAAACTCATTCATGATAATTTAGCACTTGGAGATATTTATTCATTTAACAAATATTTATTGAATGCCTGCTATGTAACTATAATGTTTATATGTTTTAGGTAACAACAAAAAAATTCAAATGAGGTTCTTGAGCTTAATAGAGTTTATAATCACATGATATTATCATTTCACTTGATTTAAGGGCATCAGATTATTAAAGTGTGGTTATAATTAAGATTTCTACTTTTTTCTGAGAGATTAACTAGAATGCAAACTACATAAAAGTAGGGGGTGAGTTTCATTTTTAGATAATTATAATGAGCCAGAAGGAAAAGCATCATGTAATGAATCATGTTAGCCCTTGCAAAACACCTTGGTCTGTTATTACAGAGAGAGCTGATTAGGTGATTGCCTATTGAATTAAAGTGGTCCTTGACCCAAAAGAGCAACTTCTGTTCCTATTGATTAATACCTCATTTCCTCAAGTTATAATGCCTTACTTGTTTCATTTATGTTTTTGGTGCTCTTTTTATGGTCAATATAACCAATGCAAGAAGCCCTGAAAGTGACCACTTTTTGTTTAACAAACACCAGTTAATACTACACCTGCTAAGGTTCAAGCAGGTATACAGTAGCTTCTCCTTCTCCACAGCACTATGTGCCAAGACTCCCATTGGGTGACTGAGACCATCATAGTACTGAACCCTATATGAGGCCTGTCCGGAAAAAGTCCAGCCATTGTAAATATAATGAGAACAGTTTGCGCCACACTGATGTAATTTGGCAGCCAAGGAGAGTGGACTGGAATGTGCATGCATGAACAATGACAATTTCACTGTACTGGTCAGCGGGGGTGGTCGATGCTATTGAGTGAGCATGTGTACTGTGTGGCCATCACATTCAATATGATTAAGCAAGGAGAGCAACAAATCTGCATCAAATTTTGCATTACACTTGAACATTCCTCCACAGAACCTATTTGGATGATTCAGAAGTCCACAGCTATGGGCAACTGGTGATTGGCACCTTCATCATTATAACATGTCTGCTCATTCATCACGTCTCTTGCAGTTTTTTGGTGAAACATCAAATT